ACTTAGTAACTCAGCTGTCAGTCCCCGGACTTTGGTTCCAATGCTGAAAGCATTTCTTTTTCATTGTAAACTATTAATTCGGTCAACGGCTGTTGATAAACAAGAAGCCCGTTTTTGAAACTGCTAGAATCATTAGCACAGTGAAGGCGAGCAGCACAAACACTTCAGGAGTGTGTTATACTGTTCTTTTCTGCCTGGCCCTGGTATTACAGCTGTGCGTTTTGCATAATGCAATGGAATTTTTCAAAGCCCAGGCAGAGTTTGTTTCATTTCTTCTCTCCCTTGAACTGAAGGTCTTTGTTTCTTTAAACCCAAAAATAAACTACCCCCTACCAAAAGAAACAATACTTTCTGCCTAGGTCCAAACTAATTGCAACAAAGTCTGTATAGGGGGAAAAAAAATAACAACCCACACATTATAACTTAACTTTGAATATAGTCACATATATATAAGGTGAGATGGTTGAAATACCACTTAGTAGCTTCAAAACAGGAAATACTTTCCCAAGAAAATTGAAAGAATGGAGGGAAATTATCCTCTCCATGCAAAAGCAACAGTTAGAGATAGTCACTGGGAAACTTCCAAATAAAGTTGGTGTTTGTTTGTTTGTTTGTTGTTGGTTTTATCCCTCATCCTATCCAAAAATGGATTGAAACCTCTACTTCAAACTTTAGTTTCTCCCTTCTTCTAGAATGCTGGCCAAACTCCACCAAATAAAACCAAGGAAAATGATGATAATTATGCAACATTCAGAACAAAGAACATAAGAATATATTTTTTTAAATGATTCATTGTGCACTTATGCCTGTAATGGGATTTTAACGCACTGTAAAAATAAGTGTGCTGGCTCACTTAGCTTCTCACGCAAATGAAGCGCAGGGCGATGAACAACTCAGAGATGGGGTGGGTTTTGTGCTCTGGTTTTTTTTTCGTTTTTTGTTTTTTTTTTTTTCAGAAGGAAGAGAAGTGTGAAGGAAAACCACAGCATATAAAGAAATATACTATTTTTAATCACAGATGGAGCAATACAGCCTCTGGAGACCTCAGCCCCGCTAAGCATACTACAGGTAAACTATCCAGAAACAACTAGGCCTGAATTAATTCGGTTACACTACCACATGATGGTCCCCTTTCTATTCTGCACTACAAGTCTTAAATTCAGCAGCTTCTCAAGAGCTTGAGAAGCGGGAAGGGAAGAGAAATTCTAGCCGCACAAGATTCTTTGGAAATCTTTGGGAATTGTATTTCCGCTACATGTCTATAAAAGATTTGTCGGATACATAACTCTTCTGACTAGAGACGCAACATGTTCCTATCTTATTTGTATACCCACACACATACATGTTTCTCTTTGTCTCACTGAGACTGACATTTGGCCAGCAGGCTTTTCTCCCCCTTATTTGAAACCTCAAGCACCGAAAAAATTTGGATCTGATTATTTCCGGATCACAGGACCAGCACTTTAAAATGGATGAAATGCAAGCAAATTGCCCACCAGAGCCAGAGGGAGGAAAGACTTCAAAAACAGCTCCTATCTTCTATTATGGATGCCTTAACCCCTCCAAAACCTCCCCAGAACATCACAGTGGCATCTTATACAAATGGAAAACTCTACCAGGTAACACAACTGAAACCTGGTCACACCTAACTCTCTGCCACCACCTGCCTTAGACCCTTACACCCAAGAACACAATTGTTTTGTTTTCTTTTTCCTCCTCTTCTTTGGGGAAAAAAAAAAAAAAAAAAAGTCATCAATATAATTGGAATTGTACCAGTGAGAGCCAATTTCTGCCCAACACTTTACAGAGTGCAAAGCACTACTGTATCTATTCCCCCTAGCAGCCCACAAGGTAGGCAGAGCACAGCTGGTGTGAGAGCAAAATGAGGTAATGTGTGGGAAACACGCTGAAAACGGAAAAGCACTATGCACAGAAACAAGCATCATTAGGGCACCAACACGAAACTGTCTGCTTGCTTAAAGCCCAGATGTTTACCTTCTTTCCTTGTCAGGACTTATAAAGCAGAGTGTTGGGTGTTTAAAAATAAGAAAGAAAAATGCAGCATCTGGTAATTTGGCCTTTCCAACTGTTTGGAATCAAGATAAACGGGACTCTGCCATAAACAGATCGTGATTCTTATTGTAAATGATGACAATGTGAATGCATGACATCACACCACCCCCACTGCCTCCTGACCCCAGATCTGGAGACACATAGGACCCCAACATTTACAGATAAACTGCAGGATTCAAGAATGCATTCCCATCGTTTGCTTAGGGAGGGTCCAAGGCAGAAGGCAGATCATCTGAAACCTGAGCCCAGACCAGACAATGCCATCTTCTCTCCCATCACTGGGCAGCAGTGGTCACAACAGACCTGAGGCTTGGCTCCTCTGGGCTTCTAGAGTTAGCAGTCTTCACATTCCACATTTTGAAAAACAAACCTTTCTCCCTTTACCCCCTTTATCACCAGTGTCACTTGCCCTGGAACTGTGCCTTGCACAAATTAATAAAACCCTTTCTAATTTACAGAGCAAACTATTCTGGTTATTAACGATAAGAGGCAGGCATTATCATCTATGGTACCAATGAAAAATCAGAGGATGAGAACTTGAGACACATTGCAATAGTAATCCCAAAAATTACTATTTTTAAATTACCAGGCATAGCAGATGGCCGCATCATACTCATTCAGTCTTTCAAAATAAATCTCACAGTAAAATTACAAATGAGGAAATTAAGGCTCAGAGGAGTGAAATAATTTTCCCAAGGTTCCACAAATTACAGGTGACAAGGTCTCACAATTTCTAGCACAGTAAATAAATATCTTCTAATTGGTATTTCCAATTCTGTTTTCAATAAGCTGAGTGCTCAAAGGTAGACACCAAGCATTCAGAGGATTACATGGTATGGAGCATATTCTGACAGGAATACGGGCAGTAAGACATTGTTTTTACCTCATGGCATTTTTAAGCAAGGCAAGCTGCTGAAGCTCTTTGGTAAGAAGCTGGTTGTCTCAGACCACTTGGTGGCTTGGCTGTGAGGAAGAACTTGACGATAGCCACTTGGAGGCAGGTCAGAAACCTCTCCAAGCCCAGGTCTCAGTGCAACAGACTGGTGACTTGCTGAGTGACTTCTTAAAGGGCACTTCCCCCAGCTCCAGACCTCAGTTTCCTCATCTTTCAAATGGGTGTAATAAATCCTACCTCAGCAGCCTCATGGAAAGGCTATGAAGAAAACAGTTTTGAAGCTTCTTTGGAAAAACTTAACAAGAGTGACCAGACCATAGCAGAACGAAAAAGGTTCTTCTATTTATCCCTTTATCTTCTTCTATACTTTCCAAATACAATCCTGACTTAAAGGCTTCGTATTCTAGACACTGGGGATGGGAATAAAAAAAAATAATTGGGGTTTGGGGGATGGTAGTAGGAAGATCATACACAAAGCATCCAGATGAAAGGTTTCTATAACCACAGCTTTGGAACAAAGGCTGTTTGGGAGTGCCATCCGCTAGGTCTGCCGAGGACTCGATGTTGGAGAATGGCCATCATTTTCTAAATACAAACGTTGTAAGAGGGTATCTGTTTAACAGGGGATTGTGTGCGGAAAGGAGGCAAACCAGGGAGCTCATGGCAACAAACATTACTCAAAACTTGCAGAGCCGTACTTCTCCCACTAGCCAGGGAACTTCATATGTGTATTCCAGCATGCGTTTTCTTCCATATTGACCCTGCTCAAAATGACCTCTATCTCTTAGAGAAGAGACTGTTTGGGGTGGGGGTGGGGGGGAGTGGGGGAAGGGTACTATTAACATTCATTTCATTTTACTAGTCTGTAAATTCAGGAGTTGACTGTTTTTCACCCACAGGCTGGTTCATCTCTAAAAACCATCTAAATAAAGCTCATCTCTAAATTGTAAGGTTGGTGGTTCACACTCGCCAGCTGCTCCTTGGAAACCCTGTACAGGGTCACTAAGAGTCGGAACTGACTCTATAGCACTTGACAACAACAACAGGCTGATACTAAAGGAATGGTAGCTATAGAGCTAAAATACACAAATGGCTTTGTCTTCCGCTGGAAATAGACCTAAGAAGTCTCAAATGCTGATTTAACCAAACCCCGAGAGGGTTTGGGGGGGGGGGCGGTTGGGAGGGAGGTGCAAGGGCCTTAACAGATTTCCCCAATTTCTGGTTAATTATCTGTCAGCAAGAAACTTACAAATAATGTCTCAATAATAATTAACTGAGATGAGAAGAACGTGCCCATGAAAATCCCAGCATTCTCAATAAATTTGAGCCTGTAACTGTGCTTCGGCCTGCACCTTATGCTAACCAGCTTTGCTCAGTAGAGGAAGAATATTGGCAAAGTAAGTTTTGACCAAAGACTAATGCTTGTGAATTGTCAGTACAGAAAAGTCATTTTTACATCAGGACTTGACTCAAGCTGGATTACAGATTCATAACATTTTCTGGCCGGAACTCAGCAATCATCTGGTATAATTCTTCACTTGACAGATGGGGAAACTGAGGTCCCAAGAGAAGGAGTGTCTTGCTGAAGGCCTCTGGTTTTTGTTATTTAGGGAGACTGGAATACTTCAAAATATGCCTTTAGCTGACTCACACAGTTAGAGATGCCCGGCTTGTTACTCGCAAACTACAAAAAGCCCTAATTTATAATAAGATTTTGACAAGTTTCACACAACTTTTATCAGAAACATACCCAGCGAAGCAAAATTATGTAACCTGAGCTTTCTATAGACACATCCCCTTCCATCCTCAAACAGGTTTATCGCATTTAAATTAGATGCTTCCTACAAACAGAAATCACTTCACACTGACAGGCAAGTCCCAAGACAACTTAGAAGGAAACTGAGGGACTCTGGAGAAAAGTTTCACCAAGTTCTCTGGAGACTCCCTACAAAGGCGTGCTGCTGGGGTGACGCCTGGCAGCCGGAGCTCTCCAAATCCGTGGTTAAGCACGTTCTTGCGCGGCCAGACTCACCCTTCCCGGTGGAGGTGGCGGCGGCCTTGGACTGACCGTAGTCTCTGGGGCTCCGAGGCCGGAGAAGATCGTGGGTGCGCGACGGCGGTACCAGCGACCGGGGGAGCAAGTCCCGCGAGCCCCCATCCCCGCAACCGCTGCCGCTCACAGTGACCCTGAAGGCCATATGCGTGCCGAGACCAGTGGACCCACGGCCGGGGCCGAGCACGCCGGGAACCTCCTTCGGCCTCTTGTCCGAATGCGCCTCGGCCACCTCGCAGTGCATGGCGCCAGTTGCGCCGGTGTCCTGAGAATGGGAAACACCACAGGCGCGTTAGAATCCAAGAAGTGACCACTCTTGTTCCGGGACCAAGGTTCGGACAGTTCACCAGTCCTCTGTTTATTATTCCCCGTCCGTCTTTAAAATAGGTTAGCACCACCACTCCAAACCCTATCCGGAGCTCAAACCCACCTGATGCTGCGTGTAAAAAAACAAACAAAAAAAAAAAAACCTCGGCGCAGCAAAGTCCTTTATTCCCTTCCCTAGCTCCTGGCGGCCCCCAACCACACGCTGCGGCAGAGCGATCCTGCGAAGCCCCTGAGCCCTCTTGCCCAAATCCACCTCCACGGAGACCGGCTATCTTTGGAAGAATGTGGAAACGGGGGGCCTGAAGAGGAAAGACAGCCTGTCCGGCGTCACCAGTAGGACAGGGTGACAAGGATGAGACGTCCAAGAAATCGTTCTAGTGGGTCACCAGCTGCGCGCTTCGTGAGCTCTCCAGGCCTGGCGACGCGCAGAGGCAGCCGACCGCGCATCCTCTTATCCCCGGTGTGCCCTGCGAGACACATCCGCGATCTTCCAAACCAGGAAAATGGAAGTTTGAGGATGGACGATCACTCCCATGACTTGAACTCACCACCCGCACATGGAGACACGCACATTCCTGCGCACATCGGGGGGGAAAATGAACCCATTTCTCTCACACACAAAGTCAGCAAAGCCCATGCACGTCAAGCGTGCCTCCAAATCCATGGCCATCGAGTCAATTCGGACTCACAGCGTCCCCGCAACACACACGCAATACACACTTGGGGACACTACGCACCATACATATTACATTCACTCATTCACCCGCTTATACACTCGGCAACACAACCACATGCTGAGCACTCTCCATACACACACACACACACACATATGCTGGGTACCCCTAAGCCAGAGTCTCTGCCGTTCTGTCGTCACTCCTGAAATGAGGGCCCGGACCCCAAAACTCCTTTCCCCTGGACGTTCTCAGGGCCATCCCATAGATCCCGAGCTCGAACTTCGCTGGGACCCAAGTCCCGGATCTCGGGCCCGCAGCCGGCCTCCCCTCCCGTCAGCGGGCCGCGCCCCTCCTCACCTCGCAGCTGTAGCTGCAGCTCGCGGGGCGCACGGCTCCGCGCGCCTCCACTGGCGCCTCACCCCCGCCGTCGCCGCGTCCTGCGGGGCGGCACCCCGGGGGCGGGGGCGGGGCCACCTCCTGCCCGACGGTCGCTCTGGCCACTGGCTTGCGACGGCGGCCCTGCCGAGGCCAATCGCAAGGCGAGGGCGTGGCCTACGCCCCTCAGGGGGCCGGGGCGGGGCCCGGAGAGGGGCTGAGCGGAGGATTTGACAGGCGGCGGCCGGCTGGCGTTTGGCGCAGCCTGGGGCTCTCCCGCTGCTTTGCGGAGCAGGCCCGCGGGGCGGCGCCGCGTATGAGAGAGGCTGGGCACCGTGTCTCGGCCTGGGCCTGCCTACTCCGTGCACTGGTCGTGAGGAGAGCCTGGATATTCCCCAGCTTCCCCCAGTGGCCTTGGGCAGTAGCCTTCCTCTCTTCAGGTCAGTGTTCTCTTCAGCCAAATAGACTCGGAGGTAAATTGTATGAACGCTTGATAAGTTTTCTTGCCAGATCTGAGAACTCGCACAGATTTCACAGTGAGTCAAAGTTGAGACCTGAACCCAGGTAACTCATCCCACTTTCCTTACCATTTTATGGAAAGTGTTTTCCATCTGATAGAATACAGGAGAGTCTCAAACTCCAAATTTTAAGTTTAAAAAAGGGGAAGTTGGGGGTGAGATGTCCAGATCCTTATCAGACTATTTCAATTTAGCCTATCTGGGGAGTAGGGCCCCAGCGCCTAGATTTTTAGTGCCACCTGAATGGTCCTAAGCACTGGAGGAGTGGAGACATCCTCATCAATCGGTTCTTATAGGCTCACTCACTCACACACACACACACACACACACACACCATTTCTAATCGGGCCTTGCATGACGTATAGAAAGATCACTGGACAAGGAAGAATAAGGCTTCACAGGGATTCGCAGGTGGCTCAGTTCCCCTCTTTGAGCTGTTGTTAACCCTCTGTGCAAAATGAAGTTGTTCATGACCTACACCTATGGAAGCAGTAGCTCAAAAGAGGGAACAAGTCCTTACAGCAAGAATCATCCCCACCCCCTCCACACACAGAGTAGACAGGGATGGGCAACTTGGACATTGGCTACCCAAAATGGGGGGGGGGGAGGGGCTACAAAGGCAAGAAGTGTCTGGCTTACAAGCTTTCAAGAGGGAACCTAGATCCAGAGGGCCTGGAGGAAGGTAGAATCTCCAGTGAGTAGTATTAAATCTGACTAGGTGGGGCTGATGCAATGAAATGCAGACGGGTCTCTTGTGATACAATAGTGAATAATTGTTATCAGGACTGATTGTGAGGGTCGGAAATGTAAAGGTAGACGTTTTAAGGCAAGAAGGGGAGTGATTAACTTTTCAGTCTAGGAGCGGAGGTCCCTAGGACCATCAAGGGAGAAGAGCAGAGAGCGGGACCCTACCCAGAGAAGCAGTGATGCCTGAAATGGAGCCAGAGATGATGATGTGGAGCGATGGAGCAGCTGGAGACTTTAGATCCAGAGAGGGAGAGCGACTGTGTGCTGAAGACCTGGGGGGCCCGGGGGAAGGATTGCATGGAGGGGATTGTAACCATGGCAGTAAGAGACAATATAAGATAGAATGAATGTAAAATTAATGTTCTCCCATGTATACTATCACATAATGCACAATAAATTTTAAAAATTAAAAAAAAAAATTCATAGACCATTGCTGCAACAAGTTCTCCCTAGCTAAATCTAATGATTAACCACATATGGCAAGTCCAAATTGCCATGTTTTATAAATATAAAATACATACCGGTTTTCAGAGACTTAACAAAATAAAGTATCTTCTCACTAAGTTTTATATTGATTACATATCTAAATTATTATAGTTTATATGTATATACTATGAAAATAAAATATATGATTAAACTAAAAAAAAATGAAGTTGTTCACCCCTACCTGGCCCACCTGCCAAGGCTGCTGAAGTATCCAGCCAGCCTCCTGTGATGGTCTCAGCAGTTCATCCCAACCTGCTTCCTCTGTACTGTCTCTGGGTGATCTGGGCTGTACCCAAGGGTCCTGCCTGGCTTTTTACCTCTAAAGAGAGGGATCTGGTCTCTTTGGCCTTGGTCTCAAATTGAAAAATGTCCACTGAACCTTTTCCTACTACCACAATGCATCAGGTGTCGCTTAGGATTCTGCACATAGTAAGACCCTAAGCAGCATTCCTGGAATCTTGGAAACCCAGGATTTTAAAGTCTTAAAATCATAAAATTCTCTTTCCTATAATTTATTAAACATAGCATGCTACAATTAGAGAGCAATAATGCTATGCAGGCCCTTGGAGATTTAGTTAGATGCATCCCCACTTTTCCATCACTCATCTGCCAATTCATCGGACTGTGGTGACTTATACATTTCTGTGATTCTGGAAACTGTGCCGTTGGTATTTCAAGTATCAGCAAGAATTTGAAGTGCTTCCATGGGTGTTGATTGTGGATCCAAGTAAAATGAAATCCTTGACCACACGGTCTTTTTTTGTTTGTTTGTCATGATGTGCTTATTGGTGTAGTTGTAAGGATTTTTATTTTTGTTTTTTTATGTTGACGTATAATCCATACTGAAGGCTGTAGTCTTTGATCTCCATCAGTAAGTGCTTCAAGTCCTTTTCTCTTTCAGCCCTCAGGGTTGTGTCATCTGCATACTATAGATTGTTAATGAGATTTCCTTCCATTCAGATCCTGTGTTCTTCATATTTGTCCAGTTTCTGGGACTATTTGCTCAGATTGAATAAATATGATGAAAGGATACAATCCTGATGCACACATTTCCTGATTTTAAACCACGCAATAGTCCCTTGTTCTATTCAAATGACTGCTTCTTCATCTATGTACAAGTTTTCTGTCTGAGTGTACGCTAGTGGTCTAGAATTCCCATTCTTCACAATGTTGTCCGTAATTTGTTATGATCTACAAGTTGAAATCCTGTGCATGATTAATAAAACACACATAAATGTTTTTCTGGTATTCTCTGGTTTCAGCCAAGATCCATCTATATCAGCAATGATATTTCTTGTTCTATACCCTCTTTTGAATCCAGCTTGAAATTATGGAAATTCCCTATCAATGTACTGTTGTATTCATTGTTGTTGTGTTGTTAGGTGCCATCAAATCAGTTCCAACTCACAGCAACTGTAAGAACGAAACATTGCCTGATCCTCTGTCAATCCTCACAACTGTTAATTATGTTTGAAACTATTATTACTGCCACTATGTCAAGCCATCATATTGGGGGGTCTTCTTCTTTATTGTTGACCCTCCACTTTACCAAGCATGATGTTCTTCTGATGCATTGTTGTTGTTAAGTACCATTAAGTCTTCTGAGCCTGTATAGGGTTTCTGAGGAGTAGCTTCCTCTGAGGATTTGGAGATTGTTGATGCTTTTATGGCCAGTGGGGAAAGAGCAGAAAGGGGCAAGAGTAGCTTACCAACCCTACAGTGCACATCTACTTTGCTCTGGAGTTCCAAGAAGCCATGTGACTTTATGGAATTATAAACCCACTCTGGACCTCAGTTTTCCTCTCAAAAAGTAAGAGACTTGGAAGGTGATCTCCAAGACATTTCAGTTCTGTCCTTCAGTGATACCAGAGATTGACAATTCATTTGCCTTCCCTCTTCCACCATACATGCACATACACACATATAGAGAGCTATACATACATATATAGATACATACACAGGCACATATATAGCACCGCACAATTAGTTAGGACTCAAAAAAATTTGCTCTTTAATAAGTCATTTGACTAGATAGACCTACAGGCAAAGGGTCTCCAAATTTCCTAGATGCAGTAACAACTCATTCACTTCCCCTTCAGTAAGTATATACCCTGGTC